TTAGCTTGCCACTCCGCCAGCGCCTCGGCTTGGAATGTAGCGTTCCGCCAATAGACGTTCTCGATCGTGTTTGAATCATTAACAAGCCAGGCGACACCCCATCGAGGGTGGTCAGTGAGGTTCTTCCCAACATCGGGAAGGTGCACGGTAGGGGTAACACCTACTGCGGTGAGTTCGTCGGCGTCTCCAATACCAGAGTTGAGCAGAATGTGGGGTGTTCCAACTGATCCAGCTGAGAGAATGATTTCCTTGAGGGGCGAAATGGTGTGGATAGTCGCTGACATTAAGAAGATCATCAGCCCACCCATATCATCATAGGGTACCAGTGAGTGGTTCGTACCTCCAGCATCTTGTGTGAACTCCACAGTGTTGAAATGCGGCTCATCATTGAGAGTCGATTCATTCGCGACAAGAATCCGCGTTACGTACGTGTGAATAAGAATGTGCAAATTCTCCCTGTCGATATATCCAGGACCAAGGTATGAAGTTTCCGAACTGCTCCTTGTCCCATTCCCTACAGTTGTCTGTTCCCATCCTTCCAATCACTCATTAGTCCAAGTGACTAAAACCTAGCACGTGGACTCACCAATACCCAAATGATACCCGGAGTTGTAATCCAAATTGAACGAAAACTCACCCGACAGCTCTTGCGTAGCTTGAATGACGCGTCCATCGATCGCGCGCGGGTATCCAGGGAGCGAGACAGAATTGACGCCATCAAAACTGTGTACCGCTGGGTCAAACTCGCCTGTTGTGTTATGATGGTCTGCGGGGGCGACGAGTCGCTCGTTCTACAACCGGACACTCAGATATTTTTCAAAGCTTGTTTGAAGGTTAAGCGGTACGAACCTTTCGGATATAGGGCTGTAGCTCATCCCATCCCCACCCCTCATCCCCAGTTACGCGCGCATATCGGTCATAGTCCTCTGACGATCCACGGGTGTAGGCCATATAGTCTTTACGGCGGCAATGAAAAACGCGTAACTCTGTGATGAAACTGACTCACTGACGGCACTGCTCCCCCCCAACCCAAAGCCCCTAGGGTACGGAATAGCACGGCCATTGAACCCCGGTTGGGGGGTCGTGGTGAAGTTCCAGTCGAGAACCGTGTTGGGCGTCGCTTGTGGACATAAGAACGGGATTTGTGAAATTAGGACGTCAGCGGTTCTATAACGGCTTCAGAACTGTGTACGGAAAGAGGGGAGAATGACACACGATTGGCCTGCTTCGAGGACGAGCACAGATGTGTCCTCCTGCTCAGTCAATCGGTTCGCGAGAACGTTCCCCGCCGTACCACCTTTCTACAAATTAGTACGCACGAGACGGCATGGGTACTGCACATACCTCCTACAATGACATAGTCGAAGTCAAGCTTTGGGAGCTCTGCGACGCTCTCATATATCGCAGCCGAGCATAACACAGGAAGAAGCAGCACGAAAAGCTGGGGAGACAACATGGCGTGGGCAAAGAGCGAACAGCTCCAAGCCGTTTATAAGGGTTTTAAGAATGTTATGCGCCGAGAAAATGCCGTAATGAATCGGTACCAGCAAGAGCATTGTAGTTCTCTCTGAGGCACGTCATCTAGGCACGGATTCGAAATGAAACTCGGATTTTGTGTGGATAGTTTGTCGGAGAGACGATCGTGGCGAATGTCACATAAAAATAAAGCGCAACTATGGATTTAACAGACGAGCGTACTAGCGTTGATGGGGGAACTAGGATGCTATATTTCCGTATCGGAGAGCGATGGCGGTCCCTCGATGAGGCGAATGTGTGGTGGAATAGGCGCATGTCTTACTCTGCAAGAAGGAAGAAGGGGAGTTCGTCGGGTTTGTGGCGTTAGAACTAATCGCTAGCGCTCGTCCCGTCTTCTCAGATAAGTAACGCGGCTGTATTGATCATCGGAGTAGTCCATGAAGTCTTCAATGAATTCTTGTCACCGGAGATTGAGTGTCCATGGGATGCCTTCTCGTCCTGTGACGATGGTCTTGAAAAAGTGATCGTTAACAAACCATATAAATCTTTTCAGGGGAGTAAGCGTACCTGTTACAGATACAGCCCTCGCGCTCAGGTTCCTGGAATTGAATATCTTGCGTCACTGATGATTTCGTCAGCAGCGATAGCACAGGAAGAATGCAAGGCTTACGTGCTAGCATAAAGGTACAAGTAAAGCGGAAAACTTCTATCCCTGCCTCTTTTCGCCAGGAAGATGGATGTTGTTGCCCTTCACCTATGCATGCCAGGCTGGACAAAGTCTGGAGAAGAAATTAGATAGATCACACCAAGAACACAGCACTCACTGCACTGTATGAAAATATTGCGATAATCAAGGAACTGGATACGTTGCAAACTGATACAGAATTTACGCCAGATGCTGTTCACTGTTTCTGGAGGGGTTCAACCAGAGCGACTTGCGAATATGGTCATTCTGCGACACCGTAGCATCCCTCGGAGAGTAGTGTAAGTACCTACCTGATGTTTTGCTAGGAACATAGCGGGATCAGTATACTCCTGCATTTATGGCAAGTGTTGCATAGTGCTCGAAAACTACATACTCGCCGTGTCAGCTGTACCGCTAAATTGAAAAAAGAGTGGAAAAGACGCACGTAACGAAAACGGCCATCCTCAGTGCTCAATAGAGGTTAGAGGTTAGAAAACCGATAACATCGAAACAAAACCGTTTGATATATTTATCATCCGACACATCATAGCAACAGTTCTTTGTCCTTCAACGGCATTATCGACTTCGAGGCATAGAGAGGGTCAAAATCAAAAGATTAAAATGAAGAGGTGGTTGGTAGATAAGGATTACGGTCAAATTCGCCTCCGTTACCGTGATGTGACACCCTGAAAAGGGAGTGACGCAATGAGCTGTTTCGGCTGAAGCGCTGAGGCGCTATCCACGTAGATTCGATCCCCCACGCGTGCAAACCACTCATTGTTTAAAAATTTGACTTTGTAGGAATTATGATAATGCTGAATTTATGATGAATTTTTACCAATTTACAGAAAATTTAAATCATGCGCAACAGGACTTGTAGAAAGAAGTAAGAGTATTTATTCAACCTAACTAAGATATACTATCTGTGAGCAAAGGAGCATCACCAGACTCCCACTGGGCCAGCTATGACAATTGACAAAGGTCGGAGCGCCTAGAATGGCCGTATAAATATTGTTATCATAATGCGTGTCTTAGCGTCCGTCCACAACAAAGTCCAGAGAATGATACAGAAAGCAAACGAGAGCATAGAAAAAGAAAACTACAACAGCCAAACCAGATCCCAGTCATATAGTATGCGTGAAACGAATGACCCATAATATATTCAATCCTGATACCAGATACGAGCGTCCTTACGATTTCCAACAGCGCATGGCGTCTGATGAGGCCACTTATCCAAATCCCGAACAAGGTCAGCGTACGTCGTCTCTTCTTTCCAGTAGCCGGACTGGAGAGTACGCACAAGCGAGTCTGTGAAAAGTCCGATGTACCCTCCTTCCACCTTCTTCGCCTTTGCAAACTGATAATCTCCACAGGCGGTCAACGCGACAAAGCAATCCATATTTGGGCGCCAGTCCTTCGCTAAGATGGAGCGATAGCTAGGATAATGCTTCAGATTCTTCTCCCCAGCAAGAAGCATATCCTGAAGGGTCGCCCGTACCATTCGGGGAGTAGTGCGCGCTCCTGGCACAGGTAAATCTCGGGTAATTCCACCGGAGTGGCAACAGTCAAGAATGACTGTGATTCGACTTCCCTTGGCCTGGGAGATCAAGGTTAGGATGGTATTCAATTCTCGGTCGCTAATGTCGGGGATGGGAACACCGTTAGAGTCGACGGTGTCGCGATCGATAGGACACAAGGCCTCGATGAATCCAGTTTCCTCGACGGCGAGTTTCTCGTCATCTTCCTCGTTATAAAGACCCTCCGTGCATGGATAGCAAGACCCGTGTCCGGCGTAGTAGATAATGATGTTGTCGCCGTACTTGATCTGGGAATTGCCGATAATACTAAGAAGTGTGTGGATGATGCGCGTGCGGGAAGGGTTCATTGGATGATCAGAGGAGGTATGCTCCGTCGATCCGAGAAGGAGCTGGATGCGATCCCCAGGTACATCGAGGTTCTCAATCAAATACTTCTCCATTAATCTGGCGTCTGATACGCAACCAAGCAGCGGATAGGATGCATACTCGTCAATGCCAATGAGTACAGCCCAGAATTGAGAAGCGTCAACACGTCGTGGGGGCTAAAACATTACTGATCAGTACAACGGCTAATCACTGAAGGATAGATATTTACGCCTAAGGGGAGGGGAGACGCGTCAGGGTTGCCAACCCGAAGTTTCGACTGAATGCGACTACTACAGAGGCGGAGATAATAGAGCCTGTTGAGTTTTTTTAGCGCCGCCGACAAGCAATCACTGTTGTTCATCACGTCTTGCTTGGTCTTGAGGAGAATTTCGGCCGAGTCGGCATCCTCACTCATCCCTAGCTGCTGCGCTACTCGCATCTCGAGTTCCTCTAGTGATTGAATTTCTCCGGAAATTTGTTTCAACTGTGATAGCATGGCGCGTTGTCCATCAGCCTAGTCAAACGTCAGGATAATATGTTCAGAGAATAAGATAAAGTTCTTATATACCTTAGAAATACCCGGGGTTACTTCATATCCTAGATCGAGTTGCAGCATATGCTGACCGTATCGATTACACGGGATCCCGTAATGGTCGTACGAAGGTACTATGCGACCATATTGAACGAAATGGCGACAGCGGATTCCGGGCCTCACCTGCATCGATCTGTTCCCGTTGGCTTGAACATTGGGAAGAGGAGATATTTTGAGAATAATGGTCAGAATGCGTCACAAGAGCTATTCAAGCAGAACAATAAATTTCGGATGCAAATTCGAGTAGTGATAGATACTGACCTAGGAGTCCACCCTGATCCATTTCAACGAAGTCTCCACCTTGAAACTGCCTCAAGTAAGGATACGCCGGTGTTCTAGTGCCAAGAGTACCACAATAATGATCCTCTTTCGGAGTCGACATGTATAGATAATATGAAGAGTCGGTTCAGAAGATAAAAAGGCCGAATCGCGGTGGCAAGAAGAGAAAAAAACCCTTAGTTATATACAAAAATAGCACGTGTATCTATATGGCCCTTGTGAGCGACCAGAGGCGATGCGAGAGTGTAAATTCTTCTCAAGAACCAGACAATGAGGAGATATGTACGAGAAAACGAGGCCGGACGGAAGTGGGCTTAAGATCCACTTTCAAAGTAGATCTTGGATCACTATGTGTAAATAAACAAGTGGATTCAGTGACAGCATAGCGAGAGGTACACAAAAAGCATGTGATGCCACCTTGTCCTTAAGAATTGGCTGTTTCTTTGATGAAGATCAAAGTTCGTAGCAGATCATTGGATGGTCTAAGCAGAAGGCCCGGATATGAAATCAGCGCAAGGGTCCGCAAGAGCAATATTATCTGAAAATCATTGTAAAATTTACGTCAAATTCCCGTCACAGATTGGTGCCGCCTGGAAGACTACCTACTCATATGAAGCGGTTCCTATATATTATCACTCTGTCACGCTGCGATGTCAAATTGAGTCAAGGGCTTGGACCATCTACAGTCCATGACTGTACAACAACACTGCAGAATGAAGAGGATAGTCAGGCTCGGGATGGCGAAATCGCAAAAAAAACAAAGACTTGAAAACCGACTCCACCTACTACTACCCACTGCCCAGGCGCTTCCGCGCAGCTACCGTTTAATTGAGAGGTTACTAAGCATCTCAACGGGCTCTGAGGGGCTGTACTGCACGACGCCGACGAAGTTGAGGGCAGAGATGATAGATCCGGCAAGTCACGGTAGATCTGAATTCATATCCAACATTTTGTAACTCCGCCACGCGTGTCACGAGGCCCCCAGAAGCTCCCGCCAAACTTTGTCCGGCAAAAATCCCAAAATCGGTCCTCAAATATGCAACTTTTGGGACTCAAAGTATGCTAACTCGGACAGAGTCGCTTTCGGGCCTCCCGTACGGAACCGGCCGCCTGAATCGGGTATATCCGCGGACTTCGCCGTCTAGCACTGAAGACCGATTTTACCTGTTTTCGACATGACTACAGATTTTCGTTGGAATTTTCCGGGAAAATATTGCGCAGAGGAGTCAGAAATCCAAATCGGGGCTGATACTGGTCCAAATGTCAGGACGATGATGTCGCAGCCAGCCCAAAATATGCTAACATCCGGACAAAGTTCGACGACGTTTGGACTCGTTTGGACACAAAATATGCTAACTGCGGACAAAGTTTTTGTGATTTTTGGGCCTAAAATATGCTAAAATCCGGACAAAGTTTGGCGGGAGCTTCTGGGGGCCTGTGTCACGCGTGCACGCTGTGTTTCTATACTATCAGGCCTAACTTGAAGTGCAGGCTAGGAAATTCACTTACTCATTTCTCGATGCCTTCAAAAATCACGTTTGGCTTTCCGCCGTCGCATCGCAACATTAATTTCCACGGTCTTTTCACCAGGTCGCCGGCAACCAATCAAATATTTGCTCCAGCTTTTCGTGTTCTTGCAACACCGCCAGCCAGCACAAGCCTTAGTTTCATACCCAGTTCGCATGCCTCCGTTACATCCGTTCTATTTTACGAATGATAAGGTCTATAACTGTAAATGTCATCGGAGGCGATCTGTTGTTAACGTGGTCGACCCAATAGCCAAACCCTCTTCCAGTAAAATACATCATGTGAACCTCGTCGGTGATCGTTATGTTCTAAACTTGTTCTGGTCGCTACAACCAAGCTCTAGACTCGAACACGTCCTACTACAAATGGACGATACCCCGATCGACCGTTATCAAGTTGCGGGCAGACTGCCTCGAGTCTCAAGCTCTGCACCGATGTGTATTTGAACTGGGCTGCCATGACCTTGACTTGCATCGAGCTGCTACGTGTATCACGTAGTATACTACAGTGCACGTGGGTAACGCGAGCCGGTCTCTCTACCTGCACTCTGTATCCACAGTGACTCAAGTATCTGCGGCCTCTTATCTCATTTAGCGCTGTCTTTGATGAGGCTGTGGCATTGTACCTTGTGGGGACATGTTCGTATACTATCATGGTTTAGGTATACTGTATACTTAGCATGGAATGCTTCATTCCTTTCTCAGGGACATTGGCCACCATAACCCCCCCCCCCCCCCTTCTCCTTCCTTGAAAATGTAAGTGACATGGGGGAAGAGATATCATGTTACAGATTGAAACGCGTCGTGTGATAATACAATCTTCACGCATTCGTCATACTTACGTTTCACATTGCAAAGATATCTCCTTGGGTTCATTCGTCACTTCCTAATGTTAGTATTGGTCTCATTTTATTTCCTAATCGAGGGATCCCTCAAATTCGAGTTCGAGAAAAGGCTTGCACCATCTTCATCGAACACGAATTCGCCGGTCGATCGGGGATGTCTTGAATGAGCACTAAGAAATGGCCACGAGAGATTTTTCTTGGGCGACAGAGATAGCCGCCTGCGGTACGTAAAACCAGGATAAGCGAAAGGAATCAGGCTCTGCGGTCCTCTTATGCAAAGATAAATGCCAAGGAGAGGGAACGGGGCTTACATCCGAGACGAGACGTACGTCAAATACAATCGTAAGGCAGGAAGTTGCTTTTATTAGAAGACTCCACATATTGAAGATCTTGATACTGAGACGGCCGTTTGTGAGCTATGACACTGACCCTGTAGGCATGTCCATTAGTTACTACAATAAACAGTGTTCACCGCAGAGTCATGACGCACTTCTAACTCCCGGAACAAATGAAAGAGAAAAGGCAGTGGCGGGGTATGAGGCAACATCATAGATCTACTTTGCCCCTCTGGCTTCAGGAGAAGGCGAAGTGAAACGTTTCCTCTCCCCGCGTGAATGATGACGGACGAGACAGCAATTTCTGGAGCTGCAGTGTGAGTGACAAGGGGCAAACGACTGAAACTTTGACGTGGACAACATCTGAAGTTTCGATGCTTCTAATCTAATACAGGACCGTACCTCCGAACCTGCTATCGTTCAGGTTTCCTCCACGGCGTCGAGGGTTAAATCTTTAGTTTTGTTAATTTTTTTCTCGCTCCGCTCATCGAACTAGTCTCGTCGAGAGAGAGCCCGTACAAGTCGATGCAAACCAGATTTCATCCACAATTGAAGCTGTCAAGAGTGTTAAGAATGCCGTGACCCGTCGTAGCAAAGCTAGACGGGAACTCGAGATATATCGTCGAATCGTTTGCAGTCCCATGCCTCGGAAAGCTGACCATACTGTACTTATGCGGAAAGCATATCATACATTAGTTTTCGATGCCCAATAACAAGATATCCTCGGACCAGAACCTGCCTGTAGCACGCTATTCAATTCAGTATATCCCTAGCGGAACAGGTAGGAACGAACGAGGAGTCTGATACGTAGAGGTGATTAGGTTTCATGAACGTGAACATGAGGTCCAAAATTGTGTCATTCTCACCGTTGAAAAAGCACCATTACAGAAGACGCGGCGACTGAAGTGAAAAACGCGCGCGCCTAGGGCTGAGGCTCTGAGGCGGCAGATTCCGGCTTCTGCAATTCAATCGAAGTGGCCTGCGAAAAGAACAGAGCAATCCGCATGACAGCTCGTTCCACCTATGGTCCTTTACTCTGAAGAAAACAAAGATATGAGTGATACTGCAAGACTGAGACCGAATAGATTTTTTTGGTAGGGCTTGTTAGATTCTCACAGCAATTTTAGCCCGAGAAGCGAACTATTTTGAAGGAACATTACTCCAGCCAGAGGTTATAGGTCTGGCAATGGTGTTGGTGTGGTACCGGCACGAGGTCCGAATCAGGAACAGACACTGTGGAATAGTAGAGCTCCGTGGTTATGCACGCGATCTAGCTCCGTCCCTTCTTGCTATTGTGAGGCGTTGATCCATGGAATCCGCTGTAATCCCTTCATTTCCCTCGGCTCCCCACTCTGGAATGGCCTACAGCAAGAACGGGTGGCATGAATTATTTTGCTTACGCTGTGAGAATCAAAGACGACTGTCCAGTGCCAGTGATCGCCTCATGGTATGTGCTTATCACCCTTTGTGACCTTAGGTCTCATATCTGGCTTTTCAGCTCTGCCGCAGAGATATGTTGGGATTTTAGGTGCAGCGGTTGAAGGGAACGTGATGGTGGGGCTCGACGCACAGCCCATAAGGCCGAAATTATTGAAAAAACCCTGGGAGGGAGAGGGTTAACCTTTTTGATAAAACCCTCTTAGTCCCACGTGCAATGATGAAATTTTCAATGAACAGATGGGTGCAGGCCGTTTCCAAAAACGGATTGCGCTATAATTATAGCGAACAAAATTTTCTTCCCTGTTCTGTTCTGTAGGGGCGCTTGTTCCCACCTTCCGCTGCTGCCTTATCCACAAATGCCACCCTCCTTCCATTGCCTGGGGCTCCGAAAATATTATTTTAAGTACTGATACTGCTTCTATGCCTGCCTTTACCATATATTTAATTGAATGCGTTGCGTCGGCACGGTTTGCCAGATGCACATACCGCGGGAACTGTGTTGCCGATGACTCGGCTTGATCGGCTTAGCGCCGAAGTCAATTGCGAGTAGGTAATGACTGAGGGACAGGACTAGCAACTACACTATGGCTAATACTACTAGTACTTCCAGTGAGTAAATGCAGACATCAAATTAATTTCCCTTTTCAATGTCAACACACCCAGCGAAAACAGCTCGAAAATGACTTCGGCATTAAGCTGATTCAAGCCGAGTTATCGGCAACACCACGTGGGAACATACCATTCCCAGTTTGGTATATGGTTTGGAATTCGGGATAGCAGAATTTCTAGGATAGCAGACAATACATTGCATTTATTCAATACATAATATGATAATAGAAGTAATGGATGGTTGCTCTATCTGGTTTATATCACTCAATGCATGGATAGCTAAGGACAAGAAGTATCTCGGCGTTTTCCGAAGCACCCCAAACTCGGTCACAGTAAGCCAATAGGTCGAGATTGTACAGTCCCGAAACTTTCTCAATGCCTGTAAATATAACCCAGAGTCTATTAGCTGCTGTGATGCTATAATAATCTTCTCTGCACAGATTTTCTATCCTATGCTAATGTAGACATGAATTATGTTCTCAAAAGTATGCAAGAGGCATGTGTAAAAGGCACACCTCACAGTACATGCTCAAATCTAAGTACATTACCTAGAGAAGTACAGTCTATAGTTATTTAGAGTGCTATGTGTCAAGAAGCATACCTGCCCTGATGGAAATATACCTTGGTCAGACCAAATTGCACCAAATGAGATTGTGCATGTACTTATTCTTCATGAATTTGCATCAATGAGAAAAGCAATTACAAGGCACATACAGGCAGATCGCCATGGATCGGACACCTGTTTTGGATAATAGAATACATAAAATTACTTGTTCAACCAATATTACCCATGGAAAGGCCGTACATACTTGTGTACAAAGGGTGCATCCTTGAAATGTCCTAAAATACGTGATATTCACCATAAAAAGCAGATTAAGCAAAGTTGGGATAAATTATAACAATAAAAAGTACAAATATATATACTATAGCATTATTATAGTATATCCCGTTAATTTTCGGGGCTTAGGAGCAAAGGATTCGAGCAGAGGATGCATTCCGCTCGCTCGATTGCTCCGGTCCGGTAAACCGGATAGTGATCGAGTGGCTGTACCCCTTCTTTTTTCTTCTGACCTTTAGTCTGACCGTCACCATTGGTTTATCGCGTAGTCGCCTGCCTGCCCCCGCTATTTGTTTGAATTGAATAAAGGTATGTTTTATTACTTTCATTGCTAATATAAGTTTTATAGATACTTTTGATCCATCTGGTGGCTCCTAGATGGCCTGGATATCGTACGTCATGCCCCACTAGCCTGCGCGTAAGCCCTCCTGCAAGGCAGCATAATTTCCCTCCTACAAATGATGGAGAATTGCACTACCACCATCACCGTTTGACTACGACACCCACCAATTCCTGCTGCCGCCATTCAGCCACGTCCTGTTGCCGCCGCAACCCGACTAGCATCCCCCACATCAAAATCGGGGCCAATCGCCATTCATCATGGCCGACCAATGCCTGAACGATGCCGCATTCACTCGATAACTCACGATCCGCCTCCATCTGTCGACAGGAAGGCATATAGATGCAAAGCCAACCACCATGACGACCAGGACGACGACGGTGATGGTGTGAGGGGTGGGGAGGACTCGAGTATGAGGCACGACCATGCCAAAGAGCAGGATAGGGATGGAGTGGAAGCAGGGTATACTAGGGAGGGGTGGAAGGGCGGGAGGGTACGGGCGGGAGGGTGGGATCAAGGTTGGGCTGCTGACGGTGAACAACAGGGACGACACCTATGCTATTCGAGGCATCGTACGTAGGATCGAAGGCGTCGCGAACGCACCCAAACTCATGGCCATGCGACCGCGGATACCCTCGCCATCGCCTGCTCCATCCTATCGAACATCGGGCTCCCGTGCGCCGCCCAGCTCACCCACCGACCCTAATCTTGTATATCCCCCATTCTTTTGGCGGGGTAACATGAATCTGAGGTCCGTTTACTTCCTCGACACCATGGCCATTGTGTACCTATACCCTATCCCGACGCCCGCTTTTTCCCACCTGTGTCACCTCCCTACGGCAATGCAACGATCACCACACCATCGCCATCAATGCTTCTCTCTCCATGAGGCTTCGTGGGTGATATCGATGCCTACAGCCTGCCACGCCCGCCCGCACCACATTTTATTTGCATTTTGTACGCTTTATTATATATAATAAATATATTCATTTTCCTTAATAATAATACAAAATTCTGAGATGGGATGTACTCCCGCAAGGCAGAAGTCGGGAGGTCCGGATCCTTGCGGGAGAACTTCTGTCACGCAAGCATCCGAAGAAATTATCATTCGTAAGACCTGGGGGAGAGAGGCTTTTATTAAAAAACTGTCGCCTGTAATTACAGGTGTTTTTTCAAAAAACCGGCCCTATCCGTTGCGACGCAGGTATATTCCAGAGTACATGATGTGAGATGGTGGTGGTATGAAGCCAAAATTTTACGGTAACGATCGGTAAAGTAAATAATGGTCAAAATAATGTAAAATAAAAACAGTGACTGGTGGCTGTGAAACTCCATCCTTAACAAGATAGCGCATGTGGTTCGACATCGACATCCGCTAAGGTCCACTTCAGCGATCCCGTGAATTGGCTCGAAAGTACCGTGAAACAGCAACGACCATCTAAGAGGAATTCCCTGCCTTTATCATATCCGCCGCCCGCTCCGCAAACGCGTACACCGCCGCTTGCGTATGCCCTGCAGGTATAAATGGCTACGTATCAAAAATTAGCAACTTGAAACTATCACAAAAGAAACAGAAAAGACCCACCAGAACAGACGCATCCACAATCCTCACCCCCATCGCCAGCTTGAGCTTCAGATCCGGGTCGACAACTCCCCATGACGCATTGCGCGGCGACATACTTGCGGTACTAACTGGATGGTTTGTCGTAATAGCTGTGTTGCGAATGGTCCCTTCCAGGTCCGTGATATTCGTCGACAGCCCGAGGACATAATCTCCCCATACAGGTGCTGTCACGAACTTCAAGCCTTTCTGGACGGCATACTGCATGGCCGTCATATCCTGGGGATGTGACAAGAAGTTGGGGTTGATAAGCGGAGGTGCGAGGTGGTTGGTGCTGTTGATCGTGACGCTTCCGCCTTCACGAACGGAAGTCAGGAAAAGGGCGGAGGAAAGGAAAACATCACGTACGAGAAAGAGGACAAACCACAACAACCGACATTGTCATATAGTCCCCAGTCGCCGGGATGGTTCCGCTAGCCATACCGCCCTGCATCCATCCATTCAGCAAAATCAGCCACGTTTCACGCATCCCAGACTCACCGTGAAGATCAACTCAATACTCCCCGTCCTCCCACCCGCACATGGTTCTGTCTCCAACACGCCCTCCTCCACACGGAAGAATCCGAGGTGGTTCGAAAACGTATTGGCTACGAATCCTGTTCGATTCGTTTGCCATTCTTCTAGAGCCTCAGCTTGGAACGATTCGTTCCTCCAGTACACGTTCTCTAGCGTGTTCGTGTCATTGACCGTCCAAGCAAGGCTCACTAGGGGGTGATCCGTCAGGTTCTTTCCAACGTCAGGAAGGTGCACCGTAGAGGAGACGCCCAGCGCAGAGAGCTCGTCGGCGTCACCGACACCCGAGTTGAGCAGGATATGAGGTGTACCGATTGATCCAGCTGAGAGGATGATCTCTTTGAGGTTGGGGTTAGAAACAATCTGGAGCGTCTCTGGAATCCTCGTTAGTAACACAATTCATTGTTCAAAGGCGTAGTGAGCCTGACCTCCGCCATCCTGCGTGAACTCGACAGCATTAAAGCGCGGATAACTGCCCGAATCTGAGGCGTTCAAGACGAGTATCCGAGTCACGTACGCATGCACGAGCACATGCAGGTTCTCCCTGTCGATATACCCGGGACCAAGATACGCCGTTTCCGAAGTACTCCTCGTCCCGTTTCCAATGCTCTTCTGATGCCAGCCTTCCGTGATCACGACGTCAGTGCAGGTCACACTCTCTGACTTCAACTGCACTCACCAATACCCAGATGATACCCAGAATTGATATCCGAGTTATACGGAAAATCAACCGGGAGCTCCTCAGTAGTTTGCATGACCCGTTCATCGATGGGACGCGAGTACCCGGGGAGTGACACGGAATTCATTCCGTGGAAGTTATGAATTGAAGGAATGAACTCGCCAGTGGTATTGTGATGGTCCGCAGGGGCGACGAATCGTTCAGTCTATAACAAAAAAATCAGTAAACCCCGAGATAAGTCCTATCGTGGACTCGACCTTTAAAATGTACGGCCGCATCAGATTCCATCCCCACCCCTGGTCCCCTGTGACACTCGCATATCGATCGTAGTCCTGCGCCGAACCACGCGTGTATGTCATATAATCTAAGGGCATGTGTGAGCACCCACCGATAAGAAAACAAATGTGGATTAAACTCACTAACGGCGCTACTCCCGCCCAATCCAAACCCCCTCCCATAAGCAATAGACCGCCCATTATAGCCAGACTGGGGGGTGGTGGTAAAGTTCCAGTCTACCGATGTTTGGGGCGTAGCCGACGTGCAAAACCACGGTACTTGCGATAACAGGACGTCGGTGGTTCTACAAGCTTTTATGAGCTTCAAAAATGAGGGAGGGAAGAGAGTTGCATACGATTGCCCCGCTTCGAGAACAAGCACCGACGTATTTTTTTGTTCCGTCAGACGGTTGGCGAGGACGTTCCCTGCTGTTCCACCTACGAGTAAGATCGTGAGCAACGCGTGACAAACCCTCGACTGTAGGTACATACCTCCCACAATGATATAGTCAAAGTCTTGTGTCGGGATGTCTGTAAGTCTTTCGTATATCGCTGCTGAGCATACAGGCGCTAGGAAGAGAAGGTGGAAAAACATGACACATGGGGAGAAACACCAGTTGCATGCATGCTTTTAAGAATAAAGTATCTGAATTGGCGCAGTAAAGGATGCCGTAAGAGGCGGTCTTGAAGAGAGCATGCGCCGTGTTTGGATGCTAAGTTTGGAGTCGTGGCTAAGGTTTGGGATACCTTGGCATAGGCGGATCTCGTGTGGATACTTGTCGGAGTGGAAGGGAGCACCGACATGAAACAGCGAGGCAGTGAGGGAGGAAGGAGGCGCTCCAAAGGGGATCCATCTTTATATGGACTGAGCGCTCCCATTTCCCCAATAGAGGACGCGGCATCAGTGGACCTATAAATTTTAGTATAAAGGTCGTCTTCATCCATACGAAGGCTGCTCAGTACAGGAAGACAAGTGATATAGGTTATGGTCGTATGCAAATATGAGAACGGAATGGCGGGTCGCTATATGAACATCGACAATTCCCGAAGCCCGGAAACCCGACACAGCACCGAAAAAAAAACTAGAAATAGAACCACCCGACATGATCGAAGCGGCGCGCAGCTTTAGCAGAACCCGAGTGATAACCTGAGACGCTTATCCCATTTACAAGCACAATCGACAGCAGGAGGTCGTGGAGCCGAGGAGAATGGCACTGCAAGCGGCGACTGTTGGTGGAAACCCAGGGGAGAAAAGAGTCGCCTTCAATGAAAGTCAACGTTGAGCAGAGGAACTAATGAAAAGGCAAAGATGAGCCAGACGCCTGAATTATCCCAGAATCTGCGCGTCCGATTCCTGTGTGATACTTATAACGCTTATGGTTTAGTGCCATCTTTCATAGATGGCATCACTTGAGATTTTTCCGTCTTCCTCGTTGCCTACAGCCACCGTCAGATAGCTCCAAACGACAAACCACGCGACACACTCGCCCAGGATACTTGCTTCCTTGTTTCAGGACGCCTCTGTACAAATTCCGATATGTCCGATTCGCAGCTTGCCATTATCACGTATCCTACGGCATATACTATGAGCTCGAGATACTAAGTTTGCCAAAAACAAGAGGGCTTACCAGCGGCCTAGCCTCACTTCTCGGGTGAGATTCGGACCATTCGATGAGGTCATGATGGAGGCAGATCCAGCACCACGAGACTGGTAATTTTTGATGCGACATACAATCGGGAGGACCTTGAACGTAAATCAAAATCTTAACTTAAAAAGTATGGAATTTTTTGTTACTCTATGATACGTTTTAGGTAAAAAAGGTGACGATAGCGGTATCAGCTGAAGCACGAGTTCGTCTTTGGTTCAAGTTAAACCCTCTCTTCCCAATGTTAAAGTTCTTCGCCGGAAAAGAGTCAGTCACCCAGAGAGCTGTGAACCCCCCTCCCGAGAATGATACAGGCGTGTGCAACTGAGGAGCTTGAGGGTTAAGTAGAAAAGATAGGAGAAGAGGTTCGATATGCGGTCTTTAGATACAGCAATAGAAAAACAAAGTGTTTCGGATATGGTGTAACGGCTAACATTGCCGCCTCTCATTGTTCTGCGCGGCAGCTCGGGGTTCGATTCCCCGTATCCGAAGTTGTTTATCTCATCTAGCCTTTTTATGCTTGGAATTTTTCCGGTTCAGCGTTCACTTGTCGCCTGTGCCCAGGGCCAAGGTTAATTTTTTTTAGATTCTGATTTCTCATTTTCTAATAAACTGTGCAGTGTGCAGTGCGCACAAAACCTGCGAGGTTTAAGCTACGCTCTTTGTACCGACTCAGCAAACTTGACTTCATGTCTCTGCAGCATAGCTATGTATGCTTTCGCCCACAGCGAAGACACATCATGTTGTGGTTCATCAGTAAACGCTTGGGCCTTGAAGCTTGAAGCTTGAAGATCGGCTTCCGTATTCACTCTATCATCGCACACCAGAGAGCTCTTGACAGAGAAACACACGATGTGACGATTGAGAGGGCAGCGATGCCACGAAGAAGATACCAGTACAGTCGGATAGCGAGAATGACAAACGATAGAAGAATAGCATACTAGCCAGTATATTTAAGAAGACTGAGTACCGAGTATGAAGATCCTTGTCTTTGTCGATGCGGTATAAATTTCCCTGTAGCAGCGCGTTCATTTTGGAGACTGTAGGATTTCGCTGCAAAAAATCACCGGAGAGTTTAGGGCGAGAGAAAAAGGCTGGAAGTGGTTACAATTCTGATCAAGCAGCGGCATCGGAGGTCGGCCCAGTTGCCCGCCTCTCTCACCCAGCAACTGTCATCATCGCTCTGTTTTCCTGAAGCTATCACCTGTTCAACGTTACGTTCAACGCCAACATTGAACGTGTCGTTGGTCCTGTAAAACTTTACACCATGATTGCATGACCTCAGCTAACCTTCGGCCAGTATATAGATGTCGCTCAATTCGGATTTCAAGCTCCCACAAGAGCTCGTCGACGCTATCATCGACACTGTGAAGAATACATCCGCTTCACTTGTAGAAGCAACCAAAAATCTTTCATCTTGTTCTTTGGTTTCACGGGCATTCCTCCCCCGGACTCGATTGCACATGTTTAGAGACATTGTAATGACCAACCCCGAGAAAATAAAGCACTACCATGATATATGCCTCGCATCTCCCATTATCCCAGCTGCAGCCCGGTCTGTCTCCTTCATGACTCTCAACATACCTGCGATCCAAAGCCCACTAATTCCATCCATCCTGTGGCTCACCACCAGCATTGACACCATCCAGTTCGTTAACGTTCATTGGGACAAGCTGCCCCAGGAGGTACTTGACATCGTTAGCTCTTATGCTCTCACCAAAATATTACTCAATAACGTCGTCATCCCATCGGCCCTTCCCTTCTTCTCCTTTTTTCGCCGCTGCACCACTCGCGTGCCAGTGGATCTCCATATCTCTGGCATGCTCCGCCTCGAAAGCGCCGCAGAAGAACAGGCAGCGGACGGAGCATCTCCCGACAAACCTATTGCCGTTCGATCTCTGATCATTCGATGCCCAGATCCTGCACGAAAAGCCCTTCGTGCTATCCTTCTATTCCCGTCTTCTCCATTCAATTTGCGCATTCTGACGAACACCGTATTCACCATGATTGGATACGACATCGGGACAGACCGTAATGCTGTTCTTCTACGCGACATAATTTCATCGTCGAACATGAGTCGGAGCATGAGGAGTCGTTTCATCATGCAAGAACCTCCATCGTTCATGCTCCATGACCCCTCCACCATCCAGAGACTTTCATTTGCCATTACCGGTTCTCCTCTTCAAGTTCTCGCTTTCCGGCCGAGTTCGATCCTACGATGGTGGATTGACGGTCTCCTGCGCTCCAAGTGCTATTGCTTGGAACAACTGAACGTTCTGACTTCGTTGTTGCTGGATGTGTGGATTGTCGATGATGAAGCGTTGGATGCATGGGCTCACCTCGACGAAGAGCTTTCCTCGCCAAGTTACGAGGTGAAGGTCATGTGTATTGGTATAGGACACCAGGGACTGCTTGATGATCCCGTTCGTTATGCGGAGGTGGTCAATACTTTGACCAAGTGCATGCCTGGACTAGTGAAAAAGGATGCTCTAAAACTAATATGTGATCCGGAACCGTCACCGCGGAAGCCAGAGGCAGGTGCGGCTTAATATTACATCGAGTACTAGCTACAGACGAAGGAAAAATTGTAGCCCCAGACGTCTTCATCAATTGAAAATATGAGAGAAGAGAAATTTGGCGACCAACAGTGTCTGCTACCTATCTTAAGCCCTGACGACGACGAAACAAGGAAACAGTAGTACATCTGAAGGATGGAAAAATGAAGAGTAAGGTACACTTGTCACCGTCCTCGTGAACTTAGCCGACAGATGAGGACCTACTGGTCAACACAAAAAATTGATTCAAGCACTCATGCTATCCTCACCCTGCCATGATTCTACGTAGAATGTGAGCATAATAAAGGGTGAACCGTTGAGAGACTCACTATGTCGGGACATCCGCCAGTACGTGATGTATTGCGAGAACATGAGACTAGAGCAGCAGCAAAATACCCGCCGTAGTTGTTATGGATCTCGTGTCTTTTCCGGTCTGCACATGAGTCAACACATGCCTACTCTCGGCCTTCTCGGCCTTGACCTCGGCTTACTGGTATTTTCTATCATTTTCTCTTACTTTCTCTTACTTTCTCCTTCCTTCTTGCGAATACTAGAATAATAATGACTCAATTCCTTACTAGTGGTATATAAGTATTGTACTTGCCATTGTATTAGGATCTTAACCTAATTTTACTCATCTTCGAAGTCCACTTAACTGTGTGAACTAAGCATCTCTGATCGGTTACGCCAAGCGCTTGCCAATCAATTGCTTCCCGACTACGCCTAGCGCTTTTCGGAAACCCTGTCAGTTACGCCTAGCGCTTGCTGACGCCCTCGTTAATTACGCCTAGCGCTTGTTAACACCCTTACGGATCCCTCTTGGTGGTTGGAACTCGGCTTTCGGACATCCTCGCTCTCAACTTGGGTTTTACTCGAGTACTCATTACTTCGTGTATTAGCTCGAAATACCCTGATTCTTAACAGTAGTACAGACTTTGAATTCAAACACATGACTGGAGCAAATTCGTGGCTGTATGCGGATACCAGATGTAGACTGGGTAAAGCCGTAAGCAATCCGAGAGGAGACTCTGCATGTAACAATGATGTAACACTACACCTAGACAAGTCGGAATGATAAAAGAACGACGCGGCACACTTACCTGCTTCGAAGAATATCCGACGACGATCTTGAGTGACACGAACCCCGCTTGTCTTGGACTATAAAATTGTGATCTTGTGGATATTTACTCAGAGAATGTCGACGTGATACCGGAATACATCGCTCTGGGTAAGTAGATGGACGTTAGCTTCCGCCTTGTGATGCTAGCGTGCTTTTTCTGCATTGAGTCTTGATATGGTATTGATTATGAGATCCACATGAATGAACAACTGCCAGAGCAGTCCAACTCAATCGAATAGACTCACTAGAATCTTTCTTTGATGAGATACAGCTTTGCTGCAGTGGAGGGGCAAGACCAAGACGCGTTACTTGCGCGTATTTCAAGTTGACCTCCATGGGGATCCTGGCCCGCGGCATTTTATCCTCTCCAATTACCCAGACACTTTTCATTTTCCCACTTCAAGTGGATGTGACATTACTTACTTTCCTCGTTTCATCATCGTCAGAACCTGAGTAAAGTAACAGAAATGGTTACTTCCTTCGCATTTGAAGACGCCTATATTACTCTACTGTAGGTACACTTTTTCTTTCCGTAATCAGTACTCAGTTCCCCAGTTCTGTACTTCAAACGGTGCCTGCCCATGGAGTCCCAGCTCGCCACATACCAGTTTCAGGACTCCCTTTTTCGCTAGTCTGGGCAGACACTTGGTTAAAATATCGGCAGCATTCGCACGGTGTGCGGGGTTAAAAAACAGTACTCGATGTTCTATACCAATATGCACGGCCTTCACCTTTGAGTAATTCGACGAGGAAAGCTCGTCGTCGAGATGAGCCCACGCATCTAGCGCTTCATCATCCATGACCCACATACCCATCAACATTGTAGTGAAAATGGTCAGTTGTTCCAAGCCATAGCATTCGGACCGCAGGAGACTATCGATCCACCATCGTAAAACTGCACTCGACCGAAAGGGGATCATTTCAAGGGGAGAGGTGGCGATGGTGAATGAAACTTGGCGGGTGGCAGGAGCAAAACGGAGAATGAAAGACGGGGGTGCTATATCGAAGCTGCTCCTCACGGTCCTCAGCTCCTGAGAGCTCGATGATGAAATCAAGTCGCGTAGAAGAATGGCATCCCTTTCTGATCCGATGCCATCTTTCCCTGTTAGGGTGAATACCATGACAACGTTCGCGAGAATGCGCAGATGGAATGGGGATGACGGTGATAGAAGGATAGCACGAATCGCTCTTCGTGCAGTATCTGGGCACCATAGGGTCAAAGACCGAATTGCTACAGGTTTGTCGTTAGATGCTACATTTACTGCCTGTTCTTCTGCGGTATTTCCGACGCGGAGCATGCCAGAGATATGGAGATCAACAGGCACACGAGTGGTGCAGCGGCGAAAGAAAGAGAAGAAGGAAGGGATCGAAGGGATAACGACGTTGCTGAGTAATATTTTGGTGAGAGGATAGGAGCAAAGTACGTCGAGCACCTCCTGTGGTAGGTTATCCCACGAAATATCATGAAACTGAATGGTGTTGATATTGGCAGTGAGTCGCAGGACAGATGCCAATGGACAAATTTCGGCTGCAGATACGTTGCCAATTTGGAGGGAGACAGACCGGGCTGCAGCTGGGATAATGGGAGACGCAAGACACATCTCATGATAAAGCTTTATCTTCTCGGCATTGACCAATGCAATGTCTCTAAAGGCCCCGGGAAGCTCCCGCCAAGGTTTGTCCGGATTTTAGCATATTTTAGGCCCCAAAAAAGCGAAATCTTTGTCCGTAGATAGCATATTTCAGACCGAAAATCTGAAACCCTTGTCCGTAGTTAGCATATTTTAGGGCCTCTAGGGCCTGGAGGAATGGTACCTGGCGGAATCCCTATATTGGAGAAGCACGTAGCGAAGACTTATTGGGATCTGAAAGAAGGATGGAAGCGACACTGAAATTTCATCCAGAAAATACAAGGCGAAGGACGCCGAAATTTGGCCTAATTTGGCCCGCGGCGCTGTCCGGCACAGACGGACCGGCAGAAACCTTGTCCGAGTTAGCATATTTTAGGCGCCAATCTTTGCATATTTGAGGCCAAAAATCAGGGTTTTTGCCGGACAAACCTTGGCGGGAGCTTCCCAGGGCCTGTCTCTAAACATATGCCATCGAGTCCGAGGAAGGAATGTCCGTGAAACCAAAGAGCAGAATGAAAGATTTTTGGTTGCTTCTGCATGTGAAGTGGATGTATCTTTCACAATGTCGATGATACCGTCGACGATTTCTTGGTGGAACTTCAAATCCAAACCAGGTGCCATCTACACAGGCGGCTGAAGGTTAGCTAGGGACATGAGTTCATAGTGTAGGATCTTACAGAGTCAACGTTAACATCCACTGTTGAAGAGTTGATAGTTTCAGACAGGCTCTGCAGGGCAATGATGTTCGAGTTCGAGTTCGAGTTGCTGGGTGGGAGACGTGGCACCGGGCCGCCTTCTGCCGCTGACTTGCAGAACAGGACTGCTTGCTTGCGTATACTGGCGACCGCCTCTCTCTCTCTCTGTGACCACACTTTCCTGCTTGCAACGGCAAGTGTCCAGAGAGACGGTTACGAGTCCATTGCTTGCGAATGACCGGCAGACAAAACAGGATCCTCCTCAACTTGGGGCACAAATCTTGCTCGCCTTGGTACAGCAAAACGTAGTTCTGTAGACACTGAGCATGGTTCGACGCGATCCTGGTACGACGCAGTGGAGGTGAGAGACAAGGATAATGCCGGTATTATTCCCACGACACCGGTCCGTCGTCCGTACCATCATCCCTCTCTTGAATACAATGTCGAGCACTGAAGACGGCGACTGCGAGAAACGATGGTTCGCTAACCCGAGGCACCTACACAGCTGCAGGTAATCTGTCTAGTTTCAGAATAAATTGGTGGACATTTGAGCCTCTACTTTAGCGCCTCTTTCCAACTTCCACCCTAACGAACCACCTCTGGCGACCGAAATCAAGAAACCTCGATACCAGGACGGTGAACAACGTCTCGTCAACATCACCTCAAGACATTTATCAACTGCCACATGTCCCTCTTCGCTGTCTCTCGACGACCGGCATCTGCAGCACGCGCAAAGTCGTACGCGCACGGACCGTGCACGTCCCAGCCATCTCTCAAGACACACTCGTCGCGTAGATATAGCTCGTTCATCGACGCTTTCATTCTCCTCAACATATCCGTGTCGCACGACGTCGAAGTCTACCGTCGCCTTCAAGACACCAACGTGCTGCACTTCCACGATGTCCATACCCTCGCAAGGAAACAAGACCGTGCGCATCCTTTCGATGGAACTCGTCGGCGGGAAGGAATTCCGTAGTTTCATCCCTGTGAAGAGGACGACGCACACCAATTAGCCATTCATTGACAAGGTGCCCGCTTGAATCTGGTCGCTTTCGCAGCCCAGGAACGTCACCTTGCGGAGGCCTCGACGCTGCGTGGAATTTTGCGAGAAGCAGGGCTGCCCGGCACATTTGGAGATGTACTTGGACGACGTTCGTGGAGTTTTGGTAGATTTGGAACAGGTCAAGCTGGCTAACCCTGAAAAGCTGAGAAATTGGGAATACCGGGCGAAAGTCGCTAAAAAGCACCGCCTCGAGCACTACTTGGAGTACTCTGAACGAGATTACGCTGGAGGCAATACACCCGACTGTGGGTGTCTTATCATCTACTGCTTCACTATACTGATCATCTAGCCATCTATCATCAATAGTAACTGGCGCTGTTCCAAAAAAGACGGACGGGCTCTCAGCTCTGTAGCATCTCCTTTACTGTCGCCTCCATCCTCACGAACGCCTCCCGCCGTCGAAAACAAAGACCCTCGAAACCAGGACAACGCCTCATAAAGCTCAAAGATCACCTCAAACCATCCCGGATTGACCGCCGCGGACCCTTCTCATCGACTTTCTTCCAAACGGGTGGTACATGCCCTGCCATCTCTCGATGGTCGCATGGACTGCGCGTGTTCACACCATTTCTCAAGTCACACTCGTCGCAAAAAAATTCGATCTAGTGGATTTCAACGACGAATACAGCTCGCTCGCCGACCCATTTGCCCTTCTCAGCATATCTTCGCAAGAAGCCGAAGCTTATCGTCGCATTCAAACCATCAACGTGCCACGTATGCCCACACCTGCACGAGGAAACAGGACCGTACATGTCCTCTTCTTGGGGCATATGAACGGGAAGGCATCCCAAATTTTTGATCTCATCCCTGCAAAGAGGGCGACGCGCATGATTTTGCCATCGTCATGATACCAAGCTCAATCCGGATGCATTCGCAATCTCATGGATTCTCAGCCGAGGAACACCAATTTGCAGAGGCCCGACGCCACATGGAGTTTTGCGAGAAGAAGGACTATCCGGTGCGGAGTTCGACGACGTTCGTGGAGTGCTAGTCGATTTGGAAAAGTTCGGGAGAACGAGGTTTAACGCTAAGAGAAATGGATCTGAACGTGAGTACATCATCGTTTACCTCTGTGTTATATTGCTGAGGATCTACCATCAGCATCGATCGACGCCTGCCTTCTGCATGCAGCTTTGTTGATCCTAGGTTCGCATCGCGAGATTGCGTAACCTTGGATCCAATCGACCCTGGCCTGGAGCGGCCCGGCGGCCCATCCTTCGTTGCATTCATTCACTCTAACACGAGGATCATCAAGGTATGTGGTCTCTCACTTCGAAGCAAACAATTGGTGTTGTGTTTCTTGGGTTGTGGTTTCTTGCTCAGAAGGAGACGTCAAACTTGTCCAGATATGGCCATGATGGGGTCCGATTCCGCAGATTTGGATTATGATAACCAAAATAGAATTCTTTTACCCGCCATTGATTCTGATTTGCTTATCTTTCCTGGAAGAGTCCCCTCCGCTTTCTCATGCAGCCTTTAACCGGTGATTTTGTCGACTTGTCGGCATCCTCAAGCGTAATCTACCATGACGCACGATGTGAGAAGGAATGCAGCAACCAACCCTTCGTCCTATTAACGATGATCATCGGCGTGCCAGGCATGGATCTACAAGGGAACGACGGGCGTACGACTCTAGCGCACTTGGCTTTCTTCGCGTCGGGAGGAAAGCCCAGGGAGAAATTTCTCTACGTCTGCTGCAGCAGTTTTGAGACCGAAAACATCACATTTCCTCTTTTGTGCCTCAAAGGACGACTTTATGCGCACAAGGAGGCCTTAAATCATCCGGATATGGCGTAGTAGATGATGCCATGGTGTAACTTGTACCGCCGTCAATGCACAGCAGAGGCCGGGTCATTTTTGATCGTATAAAACGAAACCTTCAAAGGTTTTGTTTTAGCGAAGCCTTTGTCAGTCCTGAAAAGTCCGCCTGCAAAACGGTGGGAAAAACCTTCCTTCCTACAGAACAATGGAATTGAAATAACATTTCGCTTTACAACGTCCAATGCTGGAGCAATGACTGTAAGTATCTCGTGGTCCACCTCCGTGTTACACTGAATATCTACCATCAGCATAAGTACATCTACATCTACCTTCCTGCACCAAGGTTTATTGATCCTGGGCCATACCGTCAGCGCGCACTATCATATTCTACCATATCCTCGAATCCAATCCACCCCGTCAACGGTCATACCCTTCATCGTGACTGGTCCACGTATCTTTGGCGTTCGGTACCATGTAGCGAAGAATCCGTGTCATAGTTCTTCGCTTGTGGATTTCTAAGACCCAGACAAGGCCTAGTGGACAAAGTCGCTAATTTGTGCTGGGGTTCGATTCCCCAGATCTGGATAGGACGGTGCTAATTCAGAACTTTTACTTTTACTCGCCATCGGGTTCTGAATTGTTCATCTTTCCTAGAAGAGTCCTCCTCGCTCGTCGCTCTATTCAACCGGCGGTTTCATCATTTCTTCGGCGTTCTCCAGTCTACCCCGAGCGCAACAGCGGAAGGGAGCGCAGTGACCAACCTTTGATCGTGTTTATCTTGGAATGGTCCTCATTGTGCGCTATACAAAGGGTGTGCCGGTTCTATCGCGTTCTCGAGTCGAAAGTTTCACGTTGCAAGGAAGATCCTCAGGGAAATTTGACGCGTTCGCTAAAGGAGGCGCTTTGCCTTGGGTGAACGACTTTTAACACGCAACAAGGGCCCAAAATCATCCGGATATGGCATAACAGGATGGGTCGCTGTTCCGCGGTGGGTTCGATTCCCCAGGTCTGAATGTGCGAATCTCACCTACCTTTTTTAGATGTCTTTTCCTGGCCGCTGGGTGTATTCCGACTCGGCAGACACGTATCATTCTATTGTCCTCTGGGTTTTGAATTCATAGGCAGGCAACAACCGCTGCGGGAAAAAGAATTAACCAGTTGTGCTATTTTTAGTGCAGATCATCGCAAGCGCCCACACTCGCCAGACTCACCGTCGGGATTGGTAAGTATTACTCAGCTATGTTTCTTTTCTCTGCACGAAAATTCTAGTAGTTTCTTTACAAAGTAGTATAAAAGTCTGTATGTAGAACGGGACACCCTTGTGCGTTTGCCTTCAAGGGTTCCCTGTCGCTTAATAATCTACCCCCTTATCCAACACCAGTTGCTGTGTTTCGTTGTTTAGAAAGAAACCATACGCTGGGGGCAACTTGGCTGTGAGCACCTCGTCGTCCTTCTTCTTGCTGTACTGAGTGTATACTACTAGCATACTTTATACGGTTACCTTCATGCACCATCATAAATTTCCGGGATGGTCTTTTTCGCGTCCTCGAACCTAATCTAACACGATATAGAAAACAACCCTTTGTCCAATGGTATACCACTATCACGTTCTGCCGGATTCGAGTCGGCCATGGAGAGCAATCAACATGTTCTCGGGACCAGGCGCCAGTTATAGCGCCCAAATATGGTGTAACGGATGATGTCGGTGCTGCTTCGCGGGGTTCGATTCCCTAATTCCGGATGGACGAGAGATTCCTGTGACGTTTTTTGTACACCCTCTACCGAATTTCATTTCTGAGTTAGAAGATTCTTTCTGGTGCAGAAATGCAGGGCTCCTTGCAATGTGCATCCAACAGCCGCTTTCATGGAAGTATACTCGATATCCATTCAGTTCTGCTTTGGCTCCTTCCTCTTCTCGTATCCCGACTCGTAGGACGCCGCGCAAACATCACGGTGAAATACATAGGGAAGCCCTCGACAGGAGGCAAAATTCTTCTTTGGGACCGATCTTCCATATATCCCTCTCATGATCTGGGTCGGGGAATCGAACCCCAACAGTACCAGTGTCGGCCGTTGCACCATGAGATTGACGATTGCGATTGCGAGAAGACGGTTTTCACTCCCTTCCCGCGTAATCAAACTTGGGGGTTATCTTGCATTTGAGCTTGCGAGTTCTGAGTCGTTTCTTCTGTCTGGAATGCACTGAGGTAAATTCAGTAAGCTCTCCTCGTTGGTACTAGGAGCAAAATACTTTCGCACGCCGTATGACCGGGACCGGGAATCGAACCACGATACGGTACCAAATCCGTAGTATTAGAAGCAACATCCGTTGCACCAGCATGAGGATAATGCATCCTTAGTGACCGCAGAAAGAAAGTTTCCAATCCTTCAGCGCCACTTTCCCTCCCGCTCTCTAATTCCTCAGTGGCTTCATATCTGTACGAAGCCGGGGTCGCCTCGACGCTAGTGAATATCTTGGGGGATTTTGATACTGTGACCTCGCAAGGTTCTTCAAGAATCAAGACTTCGCGAGGCCTTGACTGTTGGGTCCGAACATGCGTACAGAGTTGAGCATCGCATCGTCCTGGGCTCAAGTACAGCCAGTGGATGTATTATGTACGAAGTTTGCGCTCAAGCAATGTTCAAGTTTCTAACGAAATGGGAATCTATTATGAAGAGAGGAATACGCATTAGTACGCAGGTCGCATAACTTCCAACTCCTTCCTTCCGCCCTCACACACTCACTCAGATCTCAGCCAAAATCTCAGATGGGGGCTTGTTCAATCTCCTGATAATCTTCTTCTGCGGTTCAATCCCCCCAATCGTAATCCTCCGGTTATCCAGCAAAGTGATCCACTTCAGCTCCTCAGCATTGATGCCGGTGCCGGTCATCAACCAGTCTTTCGCGATAGCCCAATCTCGCTCGCTTTCTTCTAGGTCTCCGGGATCCGGCATGCCGTAGGGGATATACCGCATGTTCAAAAATTAATTTAATATGATGTCACGGTTAGTGGCCACGTACCTTGAAGCTCGACACAAACATCATCCCAGGCCCGTCGTTCTCCCAGTGGATGTACGCAGCTAAGACGTTCTTCTTCTCCATGTGGCAAAGCCAGTAGTTTATGGCCAGTTCGATCATGGTGTCGTCGTAGTTCAGGGGGTTGGTCATTTTGTAGGCGTCCATCACTTTGGGAAGGGTGGAGAAGGACATATAGTAGCCGCCGATCCTGTAGGACATGGCCGACCCGGGGGGAGGTTCAGCAGGGTTTATCTATACTAAGGGGGAATGTACACTCACCGGAAGTGAAAAAGATGTAATGTGATATGGAAGCAAGTAGTAAGCGAAATGTTGAGATCTCCGCCTTCTTATATACTACCCTTGTTCAACAATTACATAAAATATCCTTTGGCCGTCCGGAAGTCGGAACCATGCAGCGGAGAATTAGTGTCGTGGTTCATCGTAGATGATGGAGGAAGATACAGAATAGAAGCTGGAGCATATGAACACGAGGATAAGACTACAACAACGTGACGTGCTCACCAAGGACCAAACGGAACACCCAAAGTCAGTCAAACGAGACCCTCTTCAGCCGGTGACGCGACTTTTGCCCATATGGGATTAGAGAATCGTAGTCTGAAGATACTTAGAAGATCCGGCATCGTTTCGACGCGATTCTGGCAAGCTGAGTACGACGCGGTCGAGGTGAGGGAGAAAGCCGGAGTTTGTTCCCACGATACCGGTCTAGCGTCCCGATACCGCCGAGACCTAATCGCCGCTGTCTTGAAGACAACATCGAGCACTGAAGACGGCACGATGGGCCGCTCGCCTGCCCCGCCTCCACAACTGTTATAACTGGCTTCGTTCCAAAACGGACTGACGGTCCATCGAGTGCCTACTTTACAGGTGTCTCTTCATCCTAGTGAATCGTCGCCAGTCACCGAAAACAAGGACGCTCGATACCAGGACGATGTGCCACATCTCATCCTATTCGGAGATCGCCTCAAGACAACTATTGGCTGCCGCCCGACGAAGAGTTTAAAAAATCGGGCGTACCAAACCAGGGTCGTTGACAAGCGCCGGCGACAGTACTTGAGCACGGTTGGAAAACGAGATCTTACACTGAGGCCGATAAACGACGTAAGTACCTTATCATCCACTGCTTCACTATATTGATCATCTATCCCTAGCCCTCTTTTTTTTTTTTTTTTTTTTTTAATTCCGTTTCGTACTATGTA